TGTGTGTGTGGTTACCATTAAGTTTATGTAAAAGAAAGTTTCACATAGATAGTAGTAGTTTTTCTTCTGCATGCATCTTATCTCCATTTCTTTTTGAAAATTCAGACCTTTATCCCCTTCCCTTTTATGTATTTCTGAGTTGCAGTAGCTATTATTCCCCCCCCTTTTTTTATGTTATTACTTCCTTTAAACTTTAAGGTATATTTAAGTGTATAGTGTCCTTTTCTTAATAAGGGCTGCAACGCCTTGCTTCTTTCTGTTGGTTAGTCATCTAACTCATAGTTTTGTGTCCTTTTATCATTTTGTTTCAGGTACAATAACCCTCTTGAGTATTTCTGATGTTGGCCTTGTGGTGGAAAGTTCCCTCAGCCTCTTTATGTCTGGAAAGGTCTTTATTACTCCTTCATATCTAAAAGATAACTTACATCGCTGGACATATTATTCTTGGCTGGTAATTTCTCTCTTTTAATAGTTTGAAAATTTGATTTCACTGCCTCCTTGCTTATAGAGTTTCTCCTAAAAAATCTGATGACAATCTAATGGGCTTGTCTTTATAGTTTATCATGTTCTTTTCCTTGGCTGTCTTAAGAATTCTATCTTTGTCATTAATTTTTGACAGCTTCAATATAATGTGCCTTGGAGATGGCCTTTTCGGATTGAGAAAATGAAGTGTTCTGTTTGCTTCTTGGATTTGAGGATCCAGTTCTTTTCATAGATTTGGGTAGTTCTCATCAACTATTTGTTTGAATAAATTCTCTGTTCCCTTCTCCCTCTCTTCTCCTTTTGGTGTACCCATTATTCTTATATTGTTCTTTCTGATGGAGTCAGATAGTCCTTGTAAAGTTCTTTTATTTCCTTTTCTTTTTTTTAAGATTTTTATTGGGGAATTGGGGGGATGGGAACAGGGCTGGGGAATTGGGGGAAGGGGAACAGACAAGTTTCTGTTGTGTTTTGTTCTTCAATCTAGTTGTGGAGGACGTTGCTTCACTGGCCCAAGTTGGCACCATCATTGCGCTCTTCCCGGGCAAGGCAGATCAGTCTCCGGCTTCTGGACGGCCACTCACTGTGGCTGCTGGCTGCTCATGCTGGCTGCTGGCTATATACGGTAGCCCATGGCAACCCACTGCCACAGGGGCTGCAGCCTACGCCGCCGGCGACTCATGGCAGCCCAGCTCCAGGTTGAGCTGTTGTTCAGCTTCTTAGCTGTAGAGGGCAGGGTCACTGGCCCTCATATGTGGGATCCGAACTGGGACTCTCTGGCGTCCCATGCCAGTTCTTAACCATCGCACCACTCAGCCGGCCCCTTTTATTTCTTTTAATTTTCAAGTCACTCTTTTTCCATCTGCATTATTTCCAGATGTTTATCTTTTATATTACTATTTTTTCCTCCTTATGATCAACTTTATTTCCTAAGCTCACTATTTCTTCTTCATTTTTTCTATTCAGTTATTAATCTCCATAAATTCTATTTGGTTCTTTTCAAAAACTTCATTCTCTTTGGTAAAATATTTGCTTTGTTCATTGATTTTATTTGTGAGTTCTTTAAACTGCCTACCTGAGTTTTCTTGCACCTAGTTGAGTTTTTTCAGAACTGAAATATTAAATTCACTGTCATTTAAGTCACATATTTCCATGTCTTTAGTTTATTTTCTGGAGATTTTTCATTTGCTTTCTGAGGTGCCTGATTACCTTGGTTGTTCATTGAATTAGATGAATTCTTTCTCTGCCTATGCATTAACTCTGCAGAAGGTTGAGAAGAAGAGGTCTTTCTTTTGTTTTACAGTAGGTAGCACTAGAGCTTTTTATTTTCTCTTGCAGTGCTTTGGCTTTTAGGACCTTTGCTGGATGGTGAAAAAAAATTGCCTCATATTATCTGTGGAAGTGAGTGTCTCCTCTGTGATGATATCACCTTGATCTCAGGGCACCACCTGCATGGAAGAACGTAGTGGGTGATGATAGTTTGAACCCCTGAAATCCCAGTGCTACCTTAAGTGTTTCAGGTACCCCTGTTGGGATCAGCCATTTAAGATGGGGAGGGCTGTGCTAGAAGAGACAGTGGGTGTGTTTGTTCTTTTTTCAGAAATGGCAACTGCCAGACCTCAGCTGACTTGTCACTGAATCTCCACGCTTGTCACTAGGAATAGCCACACATAGTGTGTGTCTGCCACTTAGGAACTATCTCTTGAGTTCTCAGAAATGCAGATATTCTGCTTTGTAACCTGACACTCGTTGCTATAGTTTCTTCTGTGACCCACTGATAGCTCTGGAAGGGTACAGGGAGGTGAGCTCTGGAAGCCTGGGGGGAGGGGGTCTGCTCCATGGCTTTTTCTGCCTGCTAGAACACAGCTGCTGCACTTCTGTGTTTGATCTCTGCCCCATCACTGGTTTCAGCTGTATTACATGCTGATCACTCAGGCAGGAATGCTCTGGGCCAGGGGGTACATTTGCAGCCTGAATCCTCCCCTCTCCTGGGACTGGCATGGAGCTCAGGGCAGCGTCTGCAGCACCTGTCTTTGCTCTTCTCTCTTCCCTCCACCCCTGTTCACCCTGATTCACCCACATTCAGATGTTTCAATGTATGGACCACTCAGACATGTTTGTGGGTTGCGCAGGGAATTCTTTGTTGAACTATTGCTGTTCAACCTGCTGTAACTTATGGAGACATGATTACAAAATGTAATTTAATATCCTGAATGGGATCATGGAACAGAAAAGGGAGCTTAGATAAAAACTAAGGAATAGATATAGACTTTAGCTAATAATAATGTATCAATAATTATTCATTAGTTGTAACTAATGCAAGATGTTAATAATGGGGAAACCACATACAGGTAAATAGGAACTTTGTACTATCTTTATCATTTTTTATAAACTTTGGTTTATCCTAAAAAGTAAAGTTAATTTTAAAATATAAAATCATGTACATACTTAAAGTGAAATTTTGTCAATGCAAGCTGAGTGAGGCAGTCAAAGGATGTCCCAGGGGATAGCAGATTTGTCTGGTACAACCGTTAATCAATATTATTTGAATGCCTACTCTGTGTCTTATTAGAGCTTAAATCAATTCAGCAGAGGGAGATAAAAGAATACATATATTATTCGTACAATTACCACAGGAGTAAATGTTAAGAGGGAAAGGAAGCAGTATCTAATAGCTAGAAGAGAGGGATGGTGTAGAAAGTAATTTAGTTGGAGTTTCAAAGATGAGTTCTCTGAAAAAAAATGACATTTAAATTCTTTTAGATTTTGTCAGTGTATTTTTCTAAGTCAGATTCTGGCACATTTTACATTGGTTACCCCAAAGTACATTGGGAAAACAAAATAAGCCAATAGTTTGGTTTAGTTTAGAGAAATCATTTAACTCAACCTCACGCAGAAGAAATGGATTCACATTAAAGTTTTTATTGGCTCAGAACAGTAGGGTCTGTGATTGATGGAGATCCTGACCAAATTTACTTAGTATGCTTAGTGTAATGTCTAACCACTTTTAGAGTTCCCAGGGCATAGCTCTCGAGAGCTGTGATTCATTCTTCTACCTTCCCTCTAGGTAAAAATTTGGATGAACTACAAATTTGTTAACTAGAGTATTATAAATAGACTTATAGATAAAGCAGGCTGCATAAAGTGGAAATCAGACAGAGAAACTTAACCACTTGCACCAAAATAGCAAAAACCCCAAAAAAATAAATAAATAAAAATAAAAAAATAAGTAAAATGTATCTGCTAGAAACACTAAGCAAGGTTTATATTTAAATATTAAATGCCCTTTCTTCTTCAGTCTAAATAGCAAATAATTTCCTCTGTCAGAATAGGTGAAATGATTTTCTGATCTGGGTATGTGGGCCTACTTGGGGTTGTTTGGGCCCCAGACATCACTCTACCACATGATTTGCCATATTGACCCATTAAATTTTAAATCTACTTAAATTGTTTTTGAGTCTCTAATATTGCATATGAATTCAAGAGTAAATTAGACTTGCTTCAGGGAATTCTTGGTTGTTTATAGGGTTTAATAATTTAAGAAAGGAGGTATTCCTAGCTTATCACACCTGTATTGGTGTTTGCCCCAGAAGGCACTCAGAACTAGTATTTCTTAATCCTTACAAAGAAACTGCTAAGGATATTAACAGTTGTGTTCAAGATCCTTGAAGAATTCTCCAAACTTACACTTAATTGATTTGAACTACAACCAAAAAAGCCAAACATAGCACTTGAAAAAGTTAATGGGTGAAGACTCTGTTGGATACATACTGATTTTCATATAAATATTTGGGATGGGGGTGGAATAAATATCAAGAAATTATCAAGGACCAAATAGTTAGCAGTCATTCTGCTACCTGGAAATAGAGCAGTGAACCATATGTACAGGGGTCAACCTTATGGAGATTACAGTCCAGTGTGGATTTGGAAAATAAACAGGCCATCACAAACTAAAATCATAGATGTCAAACACGGGGATATTAGATTGGGCACAATAATAACACATGGGTCTGTGACTCATATTTTAAAGCTCTGATTAGGTTTATTAAGTATAAAATAGAGAAAATCACTTAGAAAAAGAAGGTATGGGGTGAAATACAGCAAGAAAGGGGCTTTCCCAGACTCGAGATATGCAAAAACTAAAAAGTAGAAGCATCATATTGCTATGATTTTGGGCCACACAGAAGAAAGAAGATTGCTTACAACTGCTAGAAGATATTTTATTATGGCTAAGGATTGAGTTTTTATCAATTGTATACAAGAAAAAGATGAGGTGATGGTGATAGCATTACTGGGTTCACATATCCAAGTCATTTTTAGTATTTCTTCTAATCTGTTTTTCAGTGATACTTAGACAGAGAGAAATGGCATAAAAAGGTCATAGGAATAGGAAATAATGTCAATAGAATCCCACTAAATGAGGATATATGTTGACAGATGAGCTAAAATTAAACATATCAATTCATACACTATAATAACCAATGACTTAGACAAATAAATTATCCTTGTATTATTCCTGATCACAAGAATATTTTTCTGTCTAGCATTTTACTGAGGGCAACATTAACATCTTTATTCCTCAGGCTATAGATCAGGGGGTTTAGCATGGGCACAACAATAGTATAAAACACAGAGGACACTTTCCCATCATCCATAGAGCTCACAGATGATGGTTGCAGGTACATATATGCTGCAGATCCAAAGAAAACAGCAACAGCCAAGATGTGGGAGCTGCAAGTGCTGAAGGCTTTGGACTTGCCCTTAGTGGAACGGATACGAAGAATGCTGGCAATGATGAAGATGTAGGAGATAAGGATGGTTAGGCTAGGGGCAAGGATGTTAATCACACTGAAGATTAAAATCAGTAATCTGTTGGCATAGGTACTAGAACAGGAGAGTTTTAATAGGGAAAGAAGATCACAGAAATAATGATTGATCACATCAAATTTGCAGAAATGAACCCTAAACAAGCAGCCTGTATGAGCAAAGGCACAAACCAGGCCTATAGTATACACTCCCAAAATCAGGGAGAAACAGGCCTGATGAGACATGATGACATTATAAAGCAAGGGACTACAGATAGCAACATAGCGGTCATATGCCATTGCAGCCAAAATATAACACTCTGAGATAGCAAAAACAAGGAAGAAATAGAGCTGAGTCATGCATTCAGGGTAAGAGATGATGTTCTTCTCTGTCACAAAGTTCATCAGCATTTTGGGGGTAATGACAGTGGAATGGCAGAAATCAATGAAGGACAAACTGCTGAGAAAATAGTACATAGGGGTGTGCAAGTGAGAACTCAGCCTTATGAGTGTGATCATGCCAAGATTCCCCACCACTGTGACTACATAGATTCCCAGGAAGAGGAAAAAAAAGGGCAGCTGGAGTTCTGGCTCTTCTGTGAGCCCAGCAAGGATGAACTTCGTCACTGTGGAATAATTTCCAGGGTCCATTATCTTCTCAGCAGGTTCTAAGTTCTAAAAAGAGAAAAATTAGCGTGCTGTTTGTGTGTGTGTGTGTGTGTGTGTGGGGGAGTATGATTCTGTGGAAAACTATTTTATTCTTCATCAGAGGCAATTCATAATACAAGGCTCTCTTGAATTTCTTTTGCCACTCTGAGACAACCAATGATTCTGGTTGACCAGAGAAGAAATTATACACTTCAAGAACCTTATAATTAAGATACTTCATAATTTTTAAGAGAAAACACCTAATTTTTATTTTTAAGTCAGTCAGAAGGAACATTACTACACATTTCTGAGGACTTTAAATTTTCCTTCCGTATTCTATATGTATGTGTTATTATCACACATGTGGAATGACGTTTTCTTTTTATTCTGAATAAATAATATTAGTGTATGCTTCCTATAATTTATAAACAGGATTCTTAAGTCTGTGGAAAATGGTATATTGGTCTGAGCAATTTTCCTTACTAGAATCCTGAGGCAAAAATAGCTGAAGTACTGGGCAACTACCCATATTTTTCAGCGGGGATTCTGCTGCTTTATATATCCTAGCTTTTTTTCACCCAGGCCGACTACCCCAGAAAGCAGAAATATAATTGATTGGCAAATATCATGCTTCTATTTCAACAGTTTTCTCCAGATCAAGGAACCGCCCTCCCTTATCTAGTTAGATAATCCCAGAGGCCATAATAGTATGGCCTAAATGCAGGTTATATAGTCCAACGCTGTGACCCAGAGAGCAGTGGACTATGCAACCTGGACTTCATGACTGAAGTGGTGGAGTTCAGAATACTGTTCATATTCCCAAAATATGAGAACAGTAGTGAAGACAAACACTAGGTGTTATTATTCTATATACTCATGTGTGTGTGTGTGTGTGTGTGTGTGTGTGTGTGTGTATTCATGTGTTTTACATGTGTTCTCTATAGAATTCAAAGATGGTGGAGATGTGGTTTACTAGAGCACATGCAAAATATAACTAAAAATTTTAATTTAAATCTATACTGGTCTATGGTGTAATGCGTTTTCTTAAAAAAATAAAAATGTATCTTTAGATTTGCAAAGAAAATGAGTAGATTCTAGAAATGGAAATTCACATTGTTAGTCAATACTCAGGTAGTGGTTGGATTAATGTCTTCAGTTTGGGGTATAATATATGATTTAGAAAAACTGGACAAGTTCAGGAAAATGACCAAGAAATCTGTCATTTGAGAAATGGCTGAAATCATTGAGAAAAATTAAAACAAAAATTAATGTGTCACATGAAAGTTCTCTTATTGTTCACAATATTGTTTTATTTAAGAGGTATTGGCCTTATTGTATATGAGGTCAGACAATTAAGTTTGCGAACTTGTTGCAACAATGTTGCTAACCTTTTATGGTATCAGAGGGATTATTCATTATGAATTTGTACCAACTGTACAAACAGTTAGCCAAGTTTACTATTTGGAAGTGCTGAAAAGGCTAAGTGAAAAAGTTAAACGACCTGAACTTTTCACCAACAATTTATGGCTCTTGCATCATGACAATGCACCAGTTCACATGGCACTGTCTGTGAGGGAGTTTTTAGCCAGTAAACAAATAACTGTATTGGAACAACCTCCCTACTCACCTGATCTGTCCCCCAATGACTTCTCTCTTTACCCAAAGATAAAAGAAATATTGAAAGGAGGATATTTTTATGACATTCAGGACATCAAGGGTAATACAATGACAGCTCTGATGGCCATTCCAGAAAAAGAGTTCCAAAATTGCTTTGAAGGGTGGACTAAATGCTGGCATTGGTGCATAGTTTCCCAAGGGGAGCACTTCAAAGGTGATCATAATGATATTCAGCAATGAGGTATGTAGCATTTTTTCTAGGAGGAGTTCACCAACTTAATTGTCAGGCCACATATGCCTCCAAGAAAATAAAATACAACTAACAGCTTGAAACTATGGGGAGACATGTTTGGTTTCACAACAAAGATGAACATTCTAGCAGTCATACATACCCTGAACTTACAGTCAGAAATATTTGAACACAGCCTGAATAAGTAATTATTTGGCAGATGTTGTTTAAGGACACAAGCACCTGATGGGTGGTTTGCATTAAATTATCTTTAACATCTTTTCCAGTTTCAAGATTTTGTAATTCTTATAGGCCCTGATATTAAGTTAGACAGTTGTGGATGCAAACCTCAACTCAACTCCATACTTACTATGTGACTTAAGGGTAATTATATCCACTCTCCAACCCTCTGCAAAACAAAAATGCTAATATCTGTCTCATATAAAAATAGTTAAGTGATGCCAACAAGGTGCTTAACACAGTTTCTGGCTTTCATAGAACTTAATAATTTGAAATGTTGTATTAATTTTAATCTATTGAGGTTTTTTTCATGTATCTTTTATTTAACCAACATTTTCATTCTGAAGTTTTAATTTTTTTCCTTATCGTATCTTATTCTTTCTCCTTTCTACATGAATACACACAATAATACAGGAATTTGGCATATTTTACTGAATATTAACCTCCTAAAATCATCAATATTTCCCATGGTTTCCAAATAAATTTCCAATCAAATTCTCTGTCATTTAAAGATTTATGTCATTTGGCAACAAAACAAAGTTTTATTTTTTTGTGTCCCAATAAGTATCATATGATTTGGCTACTTCACAAACTAGCATTTGGTAGCCTCTCTTTGTTGACTCGTCATATTCCCTCTGCTTTTCTTTTATTCTATCCTCACTATCCTATGGAGTCTATTTAGTAGTTAGGGAACTTTAGTTAAGAGCTTTAATAATGAAAGCCTTAGTTAATAAGACCACTTTTTACATGCCCATGAATATGTTTAGGATGTACTTAATTCTGTATTGATTATTATGAGTTATGACTGGTTTTTCTTCTGTACTCGACTGCAAATTATATAACAGTACTTGGCACAGTGATTTCCATATAGCAAATCACAATAAATATGTTTTTAAAGAAAAATTATTGAAATAAGGTTAGCGATAAAGTAACATAAACTCACTATAAGTGAACAAAGTTCTCACACTGCCTAAGTGTAACTGAGTGACAAAGAAGTGTTTACCACAGTTTTATTCAGCAGGGAACAGGGAGGTGATAAAGGAATCTTTGCTCATCAAGAACTGTGAATATTAGATACGGACAGTCAGAAACATATAAATAACTATGTGCATCTCTAAAGTCATTGGAAGAGAGCTTGAGCAGTGCATTCTAAATTTTAAAAGTCAAGTACTGGGACTAAAACATACCCTTCCTGCTCCCCCAAATTTCAGGGTTGTGTAGTTTTTTCATCCATTTCTCTGAAAGGAAAAATGATTCTGATGATGCTGGTGGATAGTTCTGAGTACTAACCTTGGATGATTCCTTGGTGCTGAAGGAGTCATAGCCTAAAAGTCTTCGTGGCAATAATTTTGAGTCACTGGTTTGATCTCTGATGAAACCTATGGCTCTCTGCAAAGGTTGGCTAATGTGATATGATGATTTCATGCTCTGTGTATTTATGCTAGAAGTCTGATTAGGAACAAATAATGATAATGACATCCCACTAGAATCTTATCCCACAGTATAAACTCTGGGGAAAAGAAACAATTAGAATTTATTTTTCTCCCCATTGGCTCTCAGTGTTTGATAGTGTCACATACGTGTGATTCATTATTTTGTTTGTACTATGGATTGAAATAAACATGTGATAAATTTTGTTAGAGCTCAGTATATTTTATGCCATACTATTTAAAAGTTTAAAAATTTCAAAATTTCAGAACATTTTCAAGACATACAATAAAGGAATTTCCTAAAGTGATTTTCCTTAAGGGGAAAAAAATCAGGGAAAATTTTTTTTGTGTAAGGTTCAAAAACTTTTATATTCACTGACTTCTAAATGTATTTAGGTATCATGATATACTCATAAAACAGTAATATTTGGAATATTTTAATTTGGGGGATGAATGAAAGCATCTGCTAAATACTGCCACAACCCACAGTTGTGTCCTAAAAAGGCTAACAAGAAAAGATGCCTTATTTTCTAAAATTAAAAGAGATATATTAGGGAACAATAGAGACATATGTGGTATGTGAAATTATTTTACTTGTTTGGAAACAAAATCGTATTTAATGTTTTTATTCAAAATAGTCATTGAATGTTATATCATTTTGAGATAATAATTATGATAAATATTTGTTAATCAAATTTACTATTTTTCCAGCTTTGAGATTTAATTGACGTATAACATTGTGTAAGATTGAGTTGTACACAACTCAATTTATATATTGCAAAATGATTACCACTGTAGCACTGGCTAACACTGCTTGCCATTATGTCACCTAATTACCTTTCTTTTTGTGATGAGAACATTTAAGATGTACTCCCTTAGAAACATTTAAGTATATAATACAGTATTATTAACTATAATCACCATGCTATATATTAGATCTCCAGGACTTACTCATGTTACTATTGGAAGTTTGTACCCTTGAAACATCTCCCCATTTCCCAGTGACCAGCTGGTAATGAACATTCAACTCTCTGTTTCTATGAGTTTGGCATTTTTAGATTTTACATAAAAGTAAGATTACACAGTATTTGTCTTTCTCTGTCTGACTCATTTCACTTAGCCTAATGCTAAATTGTCAAGCTGTATCAATATTTATTACAAATTACAGGATTTCCTTTTTCCTCATGGCTTAATAACATTCCATTATGCACATATATCTCACATATTCACATCACTTAGACTGTTTCCATACCTGAATAATCATGTTTACTTTGAAATACTTTGAAGTATTATTAGATGTAGACTTTACTTTATGTCTTAAAGGTGTTTTTGCAAACGGCTTCAAATGGGCAAAAACCTAGAACAGAATAATTTATAAACCCTATGGAAAATGTCCCTCATCAATAGTTGCCAAACTATTCAGTGTCTTTTATGGTTCCATATTAATTTTAGGATTATTTGTTCCAGGTCTGTGAAGGATGCCAATG